CAGTTGCGATGAGGATTACGGAAATTGTTACGGATCTTCGCTTTGCCTCTTGTGTATTCGTATCTCATTCATTTTATAATTAGATTAATATTATGTATAATTTTATTCATTCTTTTGTTTGCGAATTTTTTTTCTACATATAGCCTCTTTCAATCCGCTGCTAGGCAGAAAAGTAATGAGCGGATGCTCATGAGCATGATGTATAAATTATTATAATGTTTGGTTTATCGCTCTAACTATCTAATACATGATTTTAGTGAAGACATTTTCATGCAATCATTTTCTAGTCAATTAGAAGTCGGGAAGTCGAAAATGGTTAGGATGAGGTAGAATAAAAGTGTATAAGGATAACACCTTTAAGGTGAGACAACACATAAGTCAATAAGGATCTTTCTTCCCTTGAATTTTCTTTAAAATCGTAAAATTAGAAATAAGCAGAATGTTAGGCGAATGAATGGAATTCTCGTCATTTTACTGGAGCTTGGGAGGTGCAATTATATCCCATCCTCGGAGATTGTACGTCTTCTAACAAATCCAAAAAGGAAATTGTGAAAGAGTAGAAAAATAAGTAAAAATAAAATAAATAAAAGCATCTTGAAGGGTGATCTTGAATCAATCTTTTGAGAGCGTTTGGGGATCCTTAGGATATTCTAAGAGTTTTAATCTTTGAAATCGTATTCTAACTCATTCCACTCCATCAAGTCATTTGAAGCCTGTCTTTTCATATCTGATAAAGTTGTATTTAGAAATTATAAAAACATTGTAATAAGTTATAGTATAAAATAAAGCAAGGTTTTTCTGATTATTTTTGTAATTGTTTTTTCTATCGATTTATCTTGGACGGGTGACACACACACTGTATATGTATTTGTGTCGTATCTTTTATGACGCCAGAATACATATATTGACTCATCAGACTTCAAACAAGTTCTCAATCTAAAACAGTGATATCTTGCAAAGTACACTGGTGTCTAAAAGTTAAGCATAATTGATAATTATGTGAATAAAGAAGGAACTGTAAATCAGAATGGCGGGAAACGTGATATGCGAGTGTAAAATGGTTATAAAATAAGGAAGCAAATCAAAATAATGATAATAATTAATTTTATTATCCAAAGTAGCAGTTTGAAAGAAAACTGAGCATAGCAAGGATTCACACTTTAAAGAAAAAATGAAAGAAAACATTAAATAAAATACTGATGCTGCAGTTTAATAAGGCGTGTGGTCACCTCTGACAGCCAGGCACGCTGCACAGCGATTTACCATACTTGCTATGAGATGATGAATGAGTTGTGGGCTCAAACGGTTCCAAGCTTCTTGGAGAGCTCTCTTCAGTTCTGTAACGGAGCTTGGTGTGTGAGAAAGGGCTGCAATTTGTCTCCCAAGCATATCCCATACATGCTCGATAGGATTTAAACCAGGGGAGTTCGCAGGCTACGACATGCGCTGGATGTTTTCTGTTTCAAGGAAGTCATCAATCAACACCGCTCGGTGACATGGTGCATTATCATCCATGAATATGAAGTCAGGACCGGCAGCACCTCGAAACAAGCGAACATAAGGCTCAAGAACTTCGTATCTGTATCTTTGAGCAGTTACAGACCCCGTGTCAAAGAAATGGAGGTCTGGGCGACCGTCCATCATGATGCCTACCCATACCATTACTCCCCTTGATGGAAAATGATGTCTTTCCGTTGTGTTTCTTGGTTCAAAACGTGTTCCACGTTCTCTCCATATCGTTACCCGCCGAGAATCACTACTCAGACTAAACCGAAACTCGTCACTGAACATCACATTGGCCCACTCTCCCACACTCCAATATATATATATGTTGATGTTTCAAACTCCAGTTCAAACGAGCGCGTTTATGTGCAGACGTGAGGGGAATGTAAACTGCTGGTCTGCTGGCATACAGGCCAGCATGATTGAGTATCCTGTAAACAGTTTGTCTCGAAATTCTTATTCCTGTGACGACTGTGAGCGCCGAACCCAGTGCTCTGGTAGTACTGCCCCTCTGACGTCACACACTTATTACAAGATATCGGTCTTGGTGAGGGATTGTGACTCTTGGTCGACCTGATACTGATTGTCGGGTAACATCTCCCGTTCTTTGAAATCTCTGCCACAGTCTTGAGATCTCAGACTGGTCCACATTCAGAATTTGAGACACTTCGGTTTGTGATCGTGAGAATTCCAGCATTCCAACGATTCTTCCTTTCGTAAACATGTCCAATTGGCGTCTTTGTGCCATCACTCACCTTGTTTGATGGTTAACAACGTTCCTTCGCACATCAGCTGCACGAAACTTGTCTGTATCTGCTGCGTGAATCGGTTTCTCCGCGTTCCGACATGTGCCGGTGTTTCGCGCAGGACGTTGTCGACTGAAAAGTTTTGCATAAACCCAATGTTTCTTCTTCACCCAATTAATATCCACAAGAAATTTGGAATAATTTTACGAATATTTACTCCGTGTGTTTTTGCATTTTACGATTTATGCTTAACTTTTGGACACCAGTGTATGTAGAGAGTTTGGGAATGCTACAGTGTCAACATAGATAATATTGGATGTAGCAGATTTGAAGTCTGGTTGTCCATTGCGAAACCTAAGACAGAACCCTTCTGGCCATTATTTAAAACTAATAGAGCACCTGTTCTTCTCACGGATGACTTCAAAATAAAATTCAGCAATTCAGGTATTAAATTTTTAAAATTAGTTTAATCAAAACTAAAATTTAATTTTTGAAAGAATGTTTCTTTGATATGATTCACGCAAAACAAGAATTGTAGTTCTGTTACAGAACAAACAAATGCCTGACTTTTCTTACAAAGGTAGATCGTGGCAGGATAACATGCAATATGTGCCAAAGTTATGTGTTGAAATTTTTTAAACATTCTTTAGTTTAGGAGGAAAAACTAAAGAGCAGAAAATTCATTCATTAACGACTGTGTAGCTACATAAAATCCACCCCCTTCGGTTTTTTAAAAGAAACCTAAATATTTTTTTCCACATACCGTACGAATATCAAGTCATTTAAAATGATAGATTTCTAGAAGAAAATTTTTTGAAATTTACTTTTTTCAGCCAAAAAAAAAGAGGCTAAGTAGTTTAGACGCACGATGTTCCGTCAGACTTCTTTAAAAATTGGATTACTCAGAAGATGCAAAAAGTAATCCTGCAATGTTTCGTTTGAGAGCTAGGTCACAAAGTACACCAAAAATTGTGTGTGCTTCAAAATTTAATATAAAAATATCTGAAACAAATTTTAAAAAATGGTTCCAAAATATACACCATTATTATCCTTCCTTTCAAATTCCATATTTTATGTATCAGGATCTTTTTCTCTTTGCATTATCTGTCCACAGTCGAAAAAAAATACCGTTTCTTTTATTCATGTACAGTGAAGTGTCCAAAGTTATGGTATAGCAACATGCAACTATCCAGATGACAGTATCATCGCGTAGGAAATAAATAAAATTTATTTATGCTGGTCGGTGTTCGTCAAATTATTCACGTGAAAATTTTTATGGCCTCAAGGTAAGAATTATAATATACCTTGAATTCCGAATGCTAGTTGGAACTAGACGCATGTGGCATTCCATTTCGGAAATTGTTTGCAAGTTCAATGTTCCTCGATTCACAGTGAGAATGGACCAAGAATATATGAGTTTAAGCATTACCTCTCACCATCGACAATGAAGTGGCCAATCACTTACGAGTGACTTCTGCGTAGAGTAGTTAGTGATATCAGAAAAACAACGCTACGTCAAATAACAGCAATGATCAATGAGGGCTATTGTTGTAAATATTTTTTTTATAGCTCGTTTTGTAAAGAAAGCAAATGCATAAGATTTTTGGTTATCCTTCTAGATAGTTTAATAATTAGCAGTAATTAAAAATAAAGTACGAAATATATAATTTGGCTACTTTTGTTTAGGACCAAATTTCGCTTAAATGTATCTATTGTCCATTTCATGAATGTTTTCGAATTCATACATACAAAGAAGGAATTACTGGAAATTACTTCAAGGAGTGGTTACAAATAGCGAAATTTTTATCGATAAATCGAGTTTTCCTGCTTTCACTAATTTTACATAAATATTTTTGTGGAAAAGAAATTTTTCAAGAAATTAAAACTTATGGAAGGTTGTATTTAATCAAATATATAGAAGAAAAAAATAAGAGATATATTTTCTTACGAGTATAAATAAATATATATATTTGAAAATAATGCTATGGCAAGTTACTATATGATGCCTTTTGCATTTTGTGCACTAAGAACTTACTTATATTGTTGTCCTATTAAAACTAAATTAAAATGCAAATAGAATTTAGGTGATGGAAATACATAAAAATAGTAACTTTTTAAACAGAAATCATGATTTCAAATTTTCTGGTTTTCAGAAGATGCAACTCAATGAAAATAATCTGTCAAATAAAATTAATGTTTCATAAAATTACAAAAATGTTACGATATTCCAATATTGAAAGTGCTCTTTAGTGACTAAACGTTATCACCAGGTGAGAATATGAATAATTAATGCTACAAAGTGAAAATTTTATTTTGAATCAATTAAGCTTTAAAATTGTACGAGTTTCCACAGTTTAAAATGCCTTTTATAAAAAGACCATCTTTACCAAATATAACAGAGTGTGAAATACAAACTTGGAACAAATTTTCGTACAGGAAATTGTTTTAGTTTTCATAAATTGCATCTGTTTGTAATACTGTGTTTTAAAAATTAGAAAACGTTCCCTGTATGCAGACTTTTTCAATTCCTACTATTAGTTCACAATCTCCCTACATATACGCATCTTGTTCAAATTTTCAATCGTTAATAAAATACTTTCTATTCATCCATTCAAGTTCAAATAGCTTTTTTAAAACTTGTAGTGGATGACCCTTGTTAATACGGTTTTTCAAATATTAATTCATTAACGAATAAATAGTAACAAAAATAATAGTCCAACACCATATATAAAAAGGAAAATCGCTTGTTGTGTCCCTGTAGCGCAATGGATAGCACGTTGGACTTCTAATTCAAAGGACGTGGGTTCGAATCCTACTTGGGATGGCCTAAATTCTGAGAATGTGGTTTTTGAGTGAATAAATAGTAACAAACACACAAAAACGATAATCCAGCATCATATATAGAAAGGAAAATTGCTTTCTATTTTGTCTCTTATAATATTTTTATTCTGTCACATGTATATACATATTTATATTAATTGTAATTATTTAATAAAAAGTAATTAAAATAAAATTTTCTTCGTTGAACTAAGTAGGAATTGACTTGAATTTCTTTTTACATTACTTGTTCTCTTTAACATGTAAAGTGTAAAAACACTTAACATTTAAGGTATAGGAGATGAGATACTGAAAATGCTTTTTTTAAAAAAACCTTTCAGCTTAAAAATGAAGATGAGCAATGTAATGTGTTCTCCTTAAAAGATAAGGGTGTGAAAATAATATTAAATTCACAGAGGTCCTTTTTTACTAGGAAAAAAATGTTCTGGTCTTATGCGCTCTCTTTAACGTTATGTGAAAACAGCATTAAAGTTTAAGTGGAGTTAAATTTAGAGACGTGAATTTTTAACATGGTTTTTAAGTACTAAAGAATATATTTTATTTTAAAATCATGAAAAAAAAATAGCTTAGTTTATTATCGCCTTCAATCGGTACCGATTATTTTAGTCTTCTTTAATTATATCTAATTCAAAAAATTATTCCAATATTTTATAAGTACTGTGTAATAAATGTCCAATAGTTTCTTTTTAATGGAGTTTTTCATATATATATGTCCACAGCTTGTTTAAAAAATTTTAAGATTTATTCGTTAAACTTCAAAGACGTTGGGTTCAACAGCTGTTAAAGAAGAGTAAATTGAGAATAACATATGGAAATATGCGAATAAAATGTCGAAAATAAAAAAAAGAAATGTACCATTCAGAATTTTCTGACATTTCTTTTAGAAAAGCAGACAACTCAAAGAAATTTTATAGAATTCATTTTGATCGAAGTGTTATTTTTCAGTGTTTTTCTTAGAAATGATGAATAGTTTATAAATTTTCTTTTTTTTATTCTATTTGTAATATAAAGAAAAAAAATTATATTCAAGACATAGTTATATATATATAAATTGACTTAACTTACAAAACATTCAGATTCTCAAATATTTAGAAGTTCTGAATCACTATGATTTGTTCCCGCTTTTTTAAAAAAAAACTCAGCATGTAATTATTTTTATCAATTTATTTTTGTACGTTTAAGGGGACATGGTATGATTTACGCAAAAACTTTTAATTTAAGGATTTTCAAATTTTTTTTTTTGGTTGCCTCCTATGTGTGTATACCATGTAAAACAGATTTTGTGCTCAAAATTTTATAAAAAGCTAAAAATTTAATTTTTTTAAGGAAAAAAAACTTAAAATTTAAGGGATTTTAAAATGCTACTCCTCCTACAAAAATTTACGGACACGCATGAAATTTGATTTACAAGTACGTCAAACTATGAATACCAAAAGTTGGTATGGGTTTAGTGATAATATGATTGGTATTTATACAATACTTCTTTTTATGAATACTTATTGAAAATTCCTTAAAAAATGTATTAATTCTGAGTTCAATTATTTAAAAAAAAAAGTATTGCTTTGATTTTGTTACAAGTACTATTAGCAATAGGTAAAAACAGATTCAAAGCATTAGGCACAATAGAAAAAAAGCCTTATCATTTTAAATGAAGACAAACTAGTTATTTTATCTTTCCGAGATAAGTAAGTTTAAAGTTTTGATTTGTGTGCCATAGGAATGTGAATAAAAACGAAAGTAAAAGCTATATCATAATTCTGCGTTTTTTAAGTTTAGAGCAGAGGCGTAGCTAGCGCTGTATCAGCCGTATGAATGATACGGGGCTCCCAAGCTACAGGGGCCCCAACATGTGTAACTACAGTATCACTAACAGGGCTTTCTTTTCTAAAAAAGGGCTTCGAAGGAGTTTTGATACGGGGCCTACTCAGAATTAGCTACGACAGTGGTTTAGAGTTTTCAAATTTTGTGAGGTTATAGAAAAGTATATAAAGAATAATTTAGGCTAAAAAAAAATTAGATTTGATTTTTTGACTGATTTTTGTGAATTGAATCGTACTGTGTCCCTTTAAGGCTGTTTTCGTCTAATGTTAAAGAATAGGACCCAAATTCGGAATATTTTTCCAGATATAAAAGTAAGCGAGCATTAATATTATATTCTGACTTCACTATCCTGTAGGGAATCACTTATTTTATCATACTACTCACATTTTTATTAGAGAGTTGACACATTTTTTCTTTTATGAAATATGTTTTGCGTTTTCCCCCCTATAACGTAATGTTAAAGGAACTATCTCTTTACATGTTAAAAGGAAAAACTAATTATTTATGAAATATTTCGAAATTTTAAAAACGCTATATTATAAATAAATGTTATAAATAAACTATATTATAATACAAGGGTCCTGGGGGTCCGGGACCCCCAAAGCACTTGATATTTTTCCGATTGATTATTATTCTAAGTATATAGTACGTAAAATTTAATTAAGTATTTGTTATTAATGATTAATTTTATTAATTAATGCGAATTATTTATTCAATAATTAGTTTTTTACTGTGTTTTGTTCCCGAAAATCGACAAAATTAAAAGGAGCATGATACAAGAATGGGGAACTTTCGACCCCGGACCCCCCACCTTGAAAAATTCCTGTGTGCGCTACTGCATGAGTTAAAATATCACAAATTTTTATAAAAATTGAGGCATTTTTTTTCTGTCTGAAAATGTGTTCCGCGTTAAGTTCACGCTGTTGTGTATATGGCGAAAACAGCTTTAACTTCAAAAGGTTGTTAACCAAGATTTTGTCTTAGCTTACAATAAGTTTTCTTAGAACAAGTGTTGTACATTGAAGAAATATTAATAATACAATGCAGAAACAGTTGTTAAGAAATCATAGCTTAAAAAAAACACATACACACAAAGAAATGAAAGGAAATATATTACATTTAAAGTGTTATATTGTTTATTCATTCAATACAATGGCTACAAGTTTCGTCTCTGTATAAAAAAATACTTCGCGCCTGCGTCGTCCCCTGTAGGCGACGAAGCGGAAGTGACAGCCGTCCTCTGGTTCTAGGGAAGAAGATATCACAGCCAAAAAAAGAATCCGTTCGAAGCGCGACTGGCACACGAGACGAAGCTCAAACGACTATCGGTTCAAGAGTCACTGTTAGTATGACGAGAATGTATCACAGGCAGCGTGTATGACACAGGAGGCGGATGGCACACAACGGGGATACAACACTGGAGAGACATCCGCCCCGACTGGGAGAAGGACCAGGGGTGAGTGGTTGAGAAAGGTCGCCGTCCGGTTGCTAAAAGCGGGCTCGGCCACTACTACATATGCGTTCTATCAAACACCATTTCAGATTTATTCTAGCGGTTCACGAAATGCACAACATTTAGATACGGAAACACACATAGTCTTGCAATAAATAGAATGTTCTAAAATGAGGAGTTATTTTTAAAGTTAACATTCAGTTTCCAGTCAAAGTATACATTTTTTGATCACTGACTCAGATAAAGCTTCATATTTGATTAGGCTTAAGAAATGTACATTTGGAGAGGGCAATACGTAAAGTATTGCGTTAACAGAGTGTTCGAAAGTAAAGAATTGCTTTTACAGTCAAAATTTGAATTACCAGTCACACATTTCAATCATTGTCTCAAATATATTGTGGCATTCAGACTTGAGAAAAATACAACAGTTTGGATTTGACAATACTTGAAATATAAAGTAATAAATAAAATGTTTGAAAATAAGGAAAACGCCTTTTGGTACTAAGAGTTTTTTAAAAATAATATCTATAGGAATTTCAGTGACTAAAGAAAATTCCAAAAGAAAAGCTTGATAACTATGTAACATAGGATGACTTACATATGAGCAGTATAAGCAAATGAAATAAACAAAAAGTTTAAAAAAAATAATACCTCATAAATAAAGGAGCTCACGATTAATAAATATTCTAAATTTTTCATTGGTTTTTATAAAGGCAAAAGGTTTTAAAACAATTTAATTCAAAATTAAATTAATGAGACATCAATTTATAGTTTGGTTAAAATAAAATCCTAAAGTATTTCAGTTTGAATATATTTACATTAAAATTATTCGTTACCTTTGGTACCATACATATTTTAAAACTACTTTATCTAAAAAACACAATAACCATGTACAGTTTAATTGCAGTTTCTCTAAAAATAGATTCCTAAAGAAAAGAAAAAAGCTTTAAGAATATTTTTTACAGCCTTTTTTGAATTTTTAAAACGTTTATAAAAAAAAAACTAAAATACAATTAGTTGCAATCTGTACTTTGAATATAACATTATTAGTAAAAACGAAAATGACTTTATACAGAAATAAAAAGGAAACAAACATTTTGAGATACTTCCAACAGACATTTGACACAGAATAAATTTTCATGTACACATCGATTTGGCCCGAACCCGCCAATACATAGAAGAGACGTTATATCAACGCAAAAATCAATCCTATTTATAAACATTTAAACTCTTAACAAGCAGGGAGTGGACGACAAGGTCCGAAGACAGCGCTCTTTTTCAGCGTCCTCAAGCTCAAATCATGCGACCTCACGAAGTCTTTCTCGAAAAAAAAAATGCTTTTAGTCTTTTCCCCCCAAGTAGTTCCACTGATTCGGTTCAAGATCAGATCTGAAGCTCTACACAGAAGTCTTCCACCAGATCGAATTCTGAAAGCTCTGCAATGTTCTTGAATGAAAGTTGCTTTCGCCATCCAAATAAAAAAAAAGAACAAAAACAGATAACATCTTACACGAACACTGAAAAACCGAAAACAGAAACAAACTTCACAAGGTTTACATAATGAAAAGGTTTCTTTGACCTTCCAAGTTTTTTTTTTTTTTTTTTTTTTTTTAAAGAAAGAATCGGAAGCTTTCCTCCTTTGGAACAAAACGCAGTGTTTCACTTTTTCACAACACAGTAATTGTCTTACGTACAACGATGACTATAATATG